GTGTTTATTGTAAGATTTAAATGAGATGATGTACATAAAGCTTTTCATGTGGCCAGGCAGGAGGAGGCATATGCCGCAACAGGCTTTCCTTCCTTCCTACTGAAACCATGGCTTTGCCTTTCCTCTTGTGTCTGAGGCTACAAGTGATCAGCGTGGCCAAAAGCCCCAAAGGTCAGCTGTGGCTGGTGTCACCGGAGGGCTTTTGAGACATGGGTAAGGTTATATTTTTGATTATTTTTTTAATTTATTTTATGTGTAAATGTTTTTGTCTGCATGTGTGTGTGCACCATGCATACACGCTTGGTGCCCTCAGAAGTAAGAAGGCAGCATAGGATCCTCTGGAAGTGGAGTTTCCTATGGTTGTGAACCACCATGTGGGTGCTGGGAATTGAACTCAAGTCCTCTGTAAGAGTCGCCAGCACTCTTAACCACTGCACCATCCTCTCCAGTTCCAGTAAGACTCTATTTTTATTCAATTATTTTGTTGAGAAGAGGAGATGAGAGTCTGAGGCAGAGAGCCTGTCTGAAGTACAGGCCTGCTGAGCTACGTGAGTTTCAGGCCAGTCTGGTTGCCTCAAAAACAAACAGATAGACAGACAGACAGGCAGGCAGGCAGTTGGGTTGGTAAAGTGCTTGCCACATAAGCATTAGAACCTGAATTCAATCTCCAGAACCTCCATAATAAAACACTGTGGCATGCTCTGGTAATCCCAGAGCTGGAACAGAGAGGTGCAGACAGGAAGAGCCTAGGGACTAGCTGGCTAGCTTAGCCCAGCTGATTAAGCAAATCAGTGAGAGACCCTATATTAAAACAAGGTGGTTAGTAGCTGAGGGAAGATGTGTCCTCTGGGCTCCATGTGCATGCATTTGTAAGGGTGCACACATGGCTAGGAGTGTAGCTCAGTGGTAGAGCACTTGCTTCGAACGTCTGATACTCTGGGTTCAACCCCCAGGACTGTAAAATGAATAAAACAGAGTAAAGGCAAAGTAGCCGCAGGGAGGAAATAATAGGAATAACAAAAAGTCAATAGCTGGGTGCAGAGGAGGTAGGCTTTAGTGCCTGCTGCGGAAGGGAGTTGGGGGGGGGGTATGTGAAGACAAGGGTTCCAGAGTCTTCCCTGGTTGCCAGCAAAAAAGAGAATCTGAGGTCCTGAGCATTCTGTTCTCGGCTGTACAGAAAAGGGGAAGTATAAATTGCCCTGCAGGTCCGAGAAAGCCCTCCAAAGATTCCCGCCAACTCAGAGTGAACCGGACAACTCACTTCCTTTTCCCAGCTCCCTGCCCTAATGCCCTAGGGGTTTCACACAATACTGTGGGTGCTCTCCAGTACACTGGGTTTTTTTCTAGGTCATCCTTGCTTATAGTTCCTTTAAAACCCAAAGGCAAACCACCCATTAACTCAGCCCCTGCTGGGGAGGTGAATGTGTCTTTTAAAATTTCAAAGGAAACCATTAAACTTAGTTGGTAACCATTGTAACTGGTAACAAGCTTTCCATTCCACGGGTTAAAAAAAAAAAAAAAAAAAGAGTCAGAAAGACTTTCCAGGAAGTTTGCTTACTTTAATTAGCTACTTCTTCTTTTTTTTTTCTTGCCCTTAATTTAGGATCACCTAAGCATTAATCCTACCATCAAGAGAAGCCCTGAAGGGGCAGATGGGAGGGCAGAAAAGCTCTAGTGATGGAAGTCCTCTCTCTCTCTCTCTCTCTCTCTCTCTCTCTCTCTCTCTCTCTCTC